TGGGATTTGGGGTTATGGGGTGGTGTTGGGGTTATGGGGTGGGGTTATGGGGTGGTGTTGGGGTTCTGGGGTGGGGTGATGGGTTATGGGGTGGTATTGAGGTTATGGGATGGGATTTGGGGTTATGGGGTGGGGTTGTGGGGCGGTATTGGGGTTATGGGGTGGTGTTGGGGTTATGGGGTGGGATTTGGGGTGGTGTTGGGGTTATGGGGCGGTATTGGGGTTGTGGGGTGGTATTGGCATTATGGGGTGGGATTTGGGGTTGTGGGGCGGTGTTGGGGTTATGGGGTGGGGTTATGGGGCGGTGTTGGGGTTATGGGGTGGGATTTGGGGTTGTGGGGCGGTGTTGGGGTTATGGGGTGGGGTTATGGGGCGGTGTTGGGGTTATGGGGTGGGGTTATGGGGCGGTGTTGGGGCTGTGGGGCTCAGAGGCGCCCCGCATGGTCTGTAGGATCCAGTCCCTGTAGCGGAAGACGTCCCCATAGACGCCCGGTTTCCCCTCCTGCCCGCAGGGGTTCGGCCCCCACCAAACCACGCCCTGCACCGCGCCTGCGCACAGCAGCGGGGAGCCGGAGTCGCCCTGCACGGCATCATGGGAGGAGCGGGGCATCATGGGACGGAATGCGGCATCATGGGACGGAATGCAGCATCATGGGAGGAGCGGGGCATCATGGGACGGAATGCGGCATCGTGGGAATGGGGCATCGTGGGAGGAACGGGAGGTTGTGGGATAGAATCATCATGGGAATGGGGCATCATGGGAATGGGGCATCATGGGAGGGAATGCAGCATCATGGGAGGAGCGGGGCATCATGGGACGGAATGCGGCATCATGGGAATGGGGCATCGTGGGAGGAACGGGAGGTTGTGGGATAGAATGGGGCATCATGGGAGGGAATGGGGGGTTGTGGGAGAGAGTGGGGCATCATGGGAATATTATGGGGTATTATAGGATGTTATTATGGGGTGTTATGGGGGTATTATGGGGTGTTATGGGGTTATTATGGGATGCAGGGTCATATAGGGTCATTGTGGCGTTATCGTGCACTTATTGTGGGATTATTCTGGGATGCGGGGTCATATGGGGTCAGTGTGGGGTTATTATGGGATGTGGGGTCATATGATGTCAGGGTGGGGTTATTATGGGATGCAGGGTCATATGGGGTCAGTGTGGGGTTATTATGGGAT